AAGGAAATCAGCATTTTTCTAGCAGTAACAGAAAATGACTGATGAATTCACTCAGGAGACTAGAAAGATCTAACATGCATTCCAGAACATTCCTGTATGGCCACAGAGGGAGAGTGAATTGGCAGAAAGACCGAGGTGGTTGTTCCCGGGGCTCAGAGGAGAGAGAGACCAGGGCTGGAGCAGTGAGTGCAGGGGAGAGGCTAGATTCCGGTCTGCAGAATGGGCAGCTGTGTGACAGAAACAGAAATCAGGACAACCCACTTCTTTTTAGCACAGGGGACCCGCGAGCCGTTGGCCACGCCACTCACGGAATCGGCTTTGCGGGAGGAAAAGCCGAAGAGACCGGCAGCACCCGAGAGCCCGCACACAATCCCCACAGTCCCGTCGAGAGCTCAGGGCTGGACCCAGTGTGGTTGAGGCTCCTCGGGGCGTGGCGCCCACAGTCACCGCGGGGGGACGCTCGGTGGGTCCAGGCTAAGAGACACCAGGGAAACATAAAACTGGACGGGGAGACCAAGGGAGCAGATGCGGGAAACCAAGCGGGGGGGGAGGCTGGAAGGAAATTCCATGGAAAGCATCCTGGAGTGTGAAGAACGCATCGTTCCCATTACTGGGTTTTTAAGAACTGTGATCACTCAGAGAGGAAGTACTTACAGTTGCAGTGTCACGACTTCCGGGAATTACTTCAAATATTCCAAACAAAAACAAAAACAAAAATCCAACCGTAACAACGAAGTGAAAGGTAGAAAGTTGTAAATGTTGAACGAAGAATGAATGGGGGGGTGCATGCATTTTCTAAAGGACAGTTTGAATAACACGTAGAGCAAAAGGGAAAGAAACCAGGATATTCAACTAAAAGGTCCTTCGTAACCGTAACGTGAGACAACGTAATGCAGTACGTAGGGGATGGGCTTCGAAGCTAGATTTGGGAGTGAAGTGACCGTGAACCACTGTTTTTGGAAGACTGACCTTCCAAGACAAGACGGCACACACTGGATGGAGAGGGGACAGAGGATCACAGGTGGTGTTTTTTGGGGACAGGATGTGTCGAGCATGAAGGAAAGGCCGAATCTGGGAGAAATTGGCTAATGGACGTCCGTGTTCAGTTAGGACACACCTGGAACTCCCAGCCAGGTTCCCAGAAATCCCAATCTGTGTTCACACCCCTGTGTCGAGTCCTAACTTACCTGAGGTCAACCAGGGGATACTTGGGTCCTTCTGAAACAAGGGCTCGGAAATCCAAAACGTCTGGCTCTGAACCAGGGATGGTCGTGGGCCCAGCTCTTGCAACACGGGGATATTGTCAACGTTGACCCCTTACCTTGCGGGACGCCTGCCGTGGTCCGCGGGGTAACGGAGGTCTCGGTGCTTCAGGAAGTGGTAACACATCACACAGACACTATCGTGGTTACTCACCTGCACGCACTACACCAGGGCAGAAGAACACAGTAGAGGGTGTGCATGCCCAGTAGTCCTGGCCCCCAGTGGTGTGTCCCCAAGTCACTGGCTGTGCCACCTTGAGTAAGGTGCCCTTCTCGGAATTTCTACGTCCTCACCTGCAAACTGGAGTTAATACTGCCGGCTTTGAGGCGTGCTGTGAGGCTTGACGTGATGCATGACGGCTCCCAGCACAGCGGCCGTCCTTGTAGACGTCAGCTCTTTGGGACTCGGCTCTGAATTTCCCTGTCGGGACTGAACAGTGCCTTACCCAGATCTAGACGGACAGGATTCACTACACAAAACTGACCCTGTCTTTCTCGACCCTGCTGTGTCTCGTGCAGAAGCTTCCCCTCAGTCAACCGCTGCCTTGTCTACCTCCAGCTTCTCTGGGTCTCTGAACTCGAAAGAAGGCACAGATACACGCAGGGACTCGGGAGCAGATGTACACAGCCTCTGAAGCGCGTTGGCTTGGCGGGTGCTGGGTTTTGTCCCGGTATCTTGCCCGCGGAAACACACTGCTGACCTCTTTGCCTGACGCCCCGCTTTTGAGGTAACGTCCTCAAGGGATCCTCGACGATGACCTCGATCCCTTTCCTCTTTCAAATCCGACCGTTCAAATGCTCTAAGTGTACTATGGGTATTTCCCAGGATGCACTTTCTCTCTTCACTGAAATTCACGCATCACTTTCCTCTCCCCCATCTTGTAGATTACCCAAGTCCACTAAGGTTTGAGGTCAGATGCAAATTTCCATGCTGACCGCCTCCCTCATTTTTAAAAACCGTGTCCAAAGTTTCAGGCTGGTACCACTGGGTCCTGGCGACACGGAAGCATGTGGCTACATCGTCGTCCTCTCTCCCCGCGTGGGCTCATGCCTCCCCCACCTGATCCCTAGAGCCTGTACCCCTGTGACGTGGCCTCCGCGGGTCTCTGCCTTCCCCCCACGGCGGGGTCCATCCTGCCCATCTTCCTCTCCCAACACCTAGGGCTGCACTCAGCCATGGCAGACGCCCAGAATTTGTTGGATGAATTCATCATGTCAAAAACTTCCGGTGCGAGTTCCACAATTTTAAAGAAGCCGAATCTTTTGAGGAGACTTGCATGTTCATGTGGTTGCAATTTACATCTCCGTGCAAGAACCCTGATATTGATTTCCTCGGAAATGAACATCAAGCTTCTGTTTGACCTCTCCAGGGTCAGGAAGCTTGTCAGTTTCAAGGGCAGACGGCCTTACTGTTGAACGGCCTGACCCCTCGGGTGATTCTGTCCCTCCCACTGCCTCGGCATCGCTCTGCAATGCAAAATATGCCCAAGTCTCGACTGGCTATTTCTCCTGGTAGGCCTCCAGTATCTCGAACCACTCACCTGTGCTGCATGAAGTTTTTCTTCTTTAAAAGACACCTCCCCTTTCAATGCCTGTTACCCCGTCCTGGACGCTTTCTGGTTTGTCTCTGCCACCGCGCAGCACAGCAAATATTCGATGGCCGTCTTCCGCCTACCTCCCAATGGCCAAGGAGCCCCCTGGCAGGACGCCACGTGCTACTTGGTGACCAGGAGGCAGACAGCGGGAGCCCCCTTGCTGGAGGGAGGGGTGTGGCTCCCTGTAGGAATTCCCAGAACCGGAAGAGGACGGAGGAGACCTGGGGAAGTGCCGGGTCGGGTGGGGATGAGGTTTCCTGCGCCCTGAACACTGCTCCTCCCCCGACAAATCTGGGATCAGAAAAAGGCGAGATGCCTCTTGCCCTTTGCAAGCTGGAACTGTTGGCCACCACGTTTGGGGCTGACGCCCTAGAGACCCGATATCCCGTTAGGAGGGGGCGGGGAACGGGAGCTTCTCCATGGGATCTTCTTTAGTTGGAAAAGGGGAAAAAAGCATTGTCATTACGATCTTCGTTGGCTCTTTCCTCTTGCCATCAAGGCACACGGAGGGGCGTGTGGCACCACTGTCGTAGGCGGCCGGGCTCCTGCAGCCCTGCCCCAGCCTCGCAGCCCAAGCAAGGGGAAATGAGACTACAAGAACCTGTCACACAGGCCAAGACCAGGGCATTTCATGTTTTCTGTCAATAATGTCGCTAATCTCTTGAATTAACTCACCTTTTAGAAAGGGAAGATGGAGAACATGAACAGCACAGATTAGAAATGCAAGATGGCAGGGGTTAGGGAGGTGCTGACGTCAATGGCGGGGCGTGTGTGTGTGTGTGTGTGTGTGTGTGTGTGATGGCCAAGTCCAGTCCCCGCGTCCAGCACAGTACGTGGCAAACTGCAGCACAGCAAGTACTCGGTGGCCATCCTCCGCCCACCTCCCACTGGCCAAGGAGCCTCCCCCCCCCCCCGGCACGTGGCAGGACGCCACGTGCTACTTGGTGACCAGGAGGCAGACAGCGGGAGCCCGAGGGAGGGGCGTGGCTCCCTGCAGAAACCCCAGGCCTGGGACTTGAACCCATGAACTCACGTGGCCGTGTCTTCTGGAAGGAATCCCCCACGGGGGGCGATAGAGCCCAGGGCGGGGGGTATCTGCTTTGCCACAGCGCAGTGCTATCAGTTTTCGGTTAAGTGTCAGCTGCCTTCTAAAGACCCTTCTCATAAAAGCAGCCCCCCAGGAGGACAGCGGTTCTCAGGAGCTTGAGCTGCAACGCCCCGACGACGAGGGCTGGCTGTGCGGTCTACAGAACGTAAAGGCCTTTCGGGGAACCCCTCAACCGGGTGCTCCCACCCCAGGGCACGGAGGGCCAGGCACGGAGCGTGCCATCAGCCACCCCACCCGACAGACGCAGGTGCAGTCCTGGGGCTGGCGCACCGTCCGGCACTCCGTCTTCCCACCACGCCCCTTCCCTTTTCCGCGAGTTGACACGCAGCTATACCTTCTACCTTTAAAGCAAACATTTTATCTTTTTAGAGTTGTTAGTGCCTCTGAAGCCCCAAGTTCTGGATACAACGATCTCATCAGACTCAGGGGTTCCTTATGTGTCCATCCTGGACGTCCTGCCCTGCGCGGCTCTAAGAGTAGGCGTGGTGAGTGTATTTGGTACTGTGGCCGTCTTGACACATTTTTAGATGAATTATCTTGTGAATCGTGCTAAAACTCCCCTGCTTATAGAAATAAAGAGCACTAACGCTTTGGTGGGTGTTCTTCCAAAAAAATAGAAAACCACAGATCAAGACAGTCAAAGGATTTAAGCCACCTCCTGAAATATGGGAAAAAGGTCTTACAAATCTCTCAAGAACTCCAAGATCTTTTTATTGATTTCAAATTCCAATAGAATGAATATGTTTTATCTAAATATTTTTATCACATAACTGAAACATTGAATTATTTTTTTCAGAAATAGAGTTAAATACATCAATCTAGTTACAAATTCTAATATAAAGAGTACAAAATATAATGTTATAAATTGTATTTAAAAAAAGAAATACAAATTCTATGGTCTTTTGCATTTTACTGCCTCAAAGCCTAATTAGCAAAGTTGATGAAGAATGAACAGCCTCCCTCAGTCCCGTCACGCAGGCCCACGGGGGGCTCTGGAGGGCACTTAAACCACCTCTCCACGTCCTGGCCTGTGATTTTTTTTTTTTTTCTCAGTGAACAAAACGTTCTGCAATTAGAACTCACCAAAGTTAAAAGCAGTAAAACAGCATACGCTCCTTCGTCTGCAAAGTGGGAAGGAAAAGTTAGGCAAGTACAGTCCCTCCTTTCTGTACATTACGGAAGCCTCTCAGGGCTTGGCGGGCGATGGCTTGTTTTGCGTTGAAGCAGGATTACTGGTGAGGAGAACGTGGCCATGAGAATCCAGGGGGTGTAGTATCCTCGGGCACAGATGGACAAGCGCTGTCACTTTCCACAGAAAGTGCAATATTTACCCTGTGAGCTACTCCCTCTCTCTCTCTCTCTCTCTCCCTCTCTCTCTCAGTGGGAAGAACAAACAGTTCCCTGAGCCAGCTCCCTGGGAAACACCAGAGAGACACCTGTTACTTCCGCATTCCACACTACAGCCATCCTAACCGAGTGCTAAGTCACTATATCTGTGTGTGTGTGTGTGCGCCCCCTTACATAGATGTTTCTAGAACGTTACATAACCCGTGACAGAGTGGCCAAGTCTGAAGATGGCTCTTGACACACTGGTCAAAATTGACATTGCTTGACCTGACCCAGTGGCCACGTTTAATCATCAGCCAGAGTGACTTCCTAGAGTACCTTCTTTGCAGGAAACCAGTGTCTTTCTTGGTTTAAAAACTAAATGAGTCAATATCGGAGGGACCTCTCAAAGCACTTAATACTTTTCAAAACTGAAAAGGCAAAATCCACTTGCCTTGAACATTTGTGCTGTGTTTAGACCAAGGTGCAACGTATCCGTCTGAGATGCCAAGAGACCTTCGGAAACCGGGCAGGGAAATGGCACAAGAGGGGACCGTCTTCCAGAGAAGAGGCTTGCCTGCCGACTTTTCAGAGAATTTACATGTTCATTCTTCAAATTAAGGAATATGAGTGAATAACCTGAAAGATTCCTAGAAGCTCATTATTATTTATGTGTTATTTGAGTTCAACAACGGGCAAGAGACGTGAGCGGGGAGCAGGAGAGGGCGAGAAGGAGAGCCAGACGGACAGAGCCGCGCCGGGAGCAGCGAGAGCGCAGGCGGGGGCGGGGAGATACACCGAGAAGCTGCAGTGTAGACAACCAAACCCTTTATTGTCTAAGTTACATTAGACGCCAACACTGTAAAAATCCTGTTGAGAAACAAGGAAACAGCAGATCGGTAGAGGTAGTAGAAGTCTGTAACAGTCAGAAGGTGACCTACAGGAGAGATCATGCGGAAATTATCATTCGAAAAACAGCGAATCAAAACATATTGGCTAAATAAATAAGAAAACACAAATCATATTAAATACTATGGCCAAACTGACATAAACGCATTAACAAACCAACACAATACTGATGACCAGTGGAAGAAAGAAACCACAGTCAGGCCCGAGAACGGTGCGCCTGCCTTGGAGGGCGGCTTCCTCGGAGGGTCCTAGACGTCTGTGTAGTCACGTGAAACCTACGTCTGCACTCTACGCACGCACAGTTCCGTCAGCTGACTTGGCTGCGCGCTCTTCAACGGGGCCCCAGGCACGCGCCCCTCTCTCCACCGGGTGCCCCCGGGAAGCCGGCTCCCGGGAGGGTCCCTCCAGCTCCGAATGCCAGCTGGGCCCCGGCGTGCCGCTTCTGGGACAGTAAGAACGGACACGACACTTCCTCCCGTGTCACTTTGGGAACAGAGTTGCTTTTAATAACTAGGACACAGAGAGACAGACAGGACTGAGTCACTAGCCCCTGTGCATTCCTGAACCGTCACTGCTCACGTTCAGCCAAGAAAACGAAATGCAGAATTGATCGCTTTGGGGACCCAGGCTATCAAAGTGATCAAACATAAGTCAACAAAAAGGCATTTTGCCTTCCAAGGTGAACAGAGGAATGTGTCGCTGCAACTTTGCTCAAAACGACTTTACAGAACGGTCTATTCCAGCTGCGTAACGGTATCTTCATGGACATCCCAATTACACCAACACAACAGATCATTCTGGTGCAAGAATCATCGGGAAAAAATAAGTAAGAAAGTTACATACACACACACACACACACACGTGCACCTGTATACACATACACGTGTATACACGCGTGTGTGTGCACACACGTGTGTATGTGAGCTAGCCAGTTACGTTCCATGATCTGCAAGTGTCACAAGGTAACCTGAACCGTCAAGTAATTTAAACTCAGTAACAAGTAGAATCCAGAACCAAACATTAACTAATAACAACATCAACAATAATAATAATATAATAATAATTCAACAAATCATCAGAACAGGAAAACCACACGTCAGGGTTTGTGTATGTGCGCGCGCACGCGTTTCAACAAATCTTTGTATCAGAAGCCCGTTTCCTACAAAAAACTGCACGAATCCATTACTGTATTAAGTAAACTGTCGCTCTCACCAGTATTAAAGGTTAGGATAATTTCTGTACATGTAAAATTATTGCTTTTTTGAAAAATATATTTAGCATGCTTGTTTTTAATCCATTTCCTGCCTTTACAAAATTTCACAATTAAAAAAAACCTAGTAAAGCTTTTGCAAAAAATTTCACAGAACATTTTCATTCAAGGCAGCAGTAACTTTTGATAATGCATAAAATCATATGTGCAAAAATCTGAAACTCTCAGAAATATTACCATCACACACAGTGTCACGGTAACAGGAAAAGAAAATATTTATATCTGTGGAATACAATTTTAACTGCATACACTGCACGGTTTAAGATCCTTTGTTACGGGCCTTAACCCCCACCACAAAAACTTGCATTTGCGGGACTGAGGAAGAGGTATATAAAGCCGCCCCCACCCACGGGCCTGGGGACCTCCACGTTCTGGGAATGAAGGAACTCATCCTGAGGAGGGCCCCGGGCCCAAGAAGAAAAGACACCGACTTGCTGGGCTGGTGTAGGGACAGACGGGAAGGGGAGGGAGGGGGAAAAGAAGGTTCCAGAGCACCAGGGCCCCCAAAGCTGCTCAGGGATTCTCCTGCCATCACTAAAACGGGTGTAGACCGGGGGGGGGGGGGGTTCAGTGGCTGGAGCATTCGTGAAGACAGGCAGTTCCTTCGTGAGCAGTTTACAGAGTGTAGCCCTGTTACAAAAAGGTCCTGAGAATAAACAAAGAAGCCTGCTTTTCTTAGTGTTTAACTAGCTCTTTGCCGAAGCAGAACGTACGTCCTCCCACAGATGTGTTTCCTCCGCGGGCTGGCCGAGCACAAGGGATGGGAGGGACGAAAAGAGCCAACGGGGTAACGCGCACGGGCCCCCCAAGGCCACCGGACAGTCAGGCCCTCGTCACGGGCCCCGCCGTCCCCGGCGCCACCTCCTTCCTGTCCTCCGCGGACTACTTTAAACACCCGCCGCGACAGGGCCGGGCTGCGGCGCCACCGCTCCGCCGGCCTCCGCTCGGCCACCGCGCGTCCGCGCGTCACCCGCCAGTCCCCCCCCGCCCCGCGAGCACCGGCCGCCTCGACGCGGCGCTCGGCCTCTTCGGTCTCTGCCACGCGCACACGAGTCCCCCTCCATTGTCTCCGACGCGGACGCCCGTGCCCCAGCGTGCCCGCCGCCACCACCGTCTGGTCTAGGAAAATACGGGCCTGGGGCGCACAGCACACGTGTGCGCGGAGAGCAGGCACGCGTCACTGCAGGGAGGCCCGTCCTCGTTTATCCTTCAAGGTCGCTCAAGGACAGGCGCCTCCCGTCGGCCTCCAGGGCCGCGCGGCCGCTGCGGGCTGTGCGGCGTCCGGTCGGGAGTCCGGTGGCTGTCCTCGGCGGGGCGGTCGGGGTCACTGTCGGTCATCCACCAGGGGACTGCTCACGGCGGTCACGGGGCACCGGGGTCCACTGGAAACGCGTCCTTAGGTTCCCTTTCCGAGAGGCACTGTCTGGACGGTATCTGGGTTAGAACGGTCTCTCCCCTGGAGGAGAAAAAGCAGACAACAGAAAAGCTCATTTCTGCCTCTTGGGGTCCAAGTGCACTCTTCCTGTTAATTTCCTCACCAACACCCAAGAACGCAAACGATGACCTGCACGCGGCAACCCCGTCCGGCCGCCGGAGACCCCCCCCCCCCCCCCCGACGACCCCGCACCCCCACCCCACGTCGGCGGTAACTCACTTTACTCGAGCGGGATCTAACTGTGCCCTCCCGCCTGCAGAGGCCGCTTTGGACCATCGTTTCCAAAAGCGGCTCAGAGAGGATCATTAGGCTTCTCTGTTTCGCATGTAAGGAAGGCCAGTAACAGCGTCTGAACCAGCTCTGAAGGAAAGGTTCAAGGTGGCCAGATGGAATTGGGCGAGGGTTCCAAAAAAAGCAGAATGTCGCAGTACGGAGCGGGGGGAATGACAGTTCCACCACGAGGCTGAATCGGGCCACACAAACACAAAGAGAACAGCACAGCTCTCACGTAGGTCTGTCAGAACCGAATTTCCATAAATAATCACCACGTTGGAAAAACAGAAGGGGCATTCTCAAGTCGAGTGAACTGCAGGCTAAAAATGGGAATGAATGTGAGCCCGTGGCTTTTAGAGAAGGCTCTCAAATGACACGCGAGGCGTCGCTATTTGAACAATGGCGTTTAGGATCTGAGGACAAAAACAACAGTAAGATTAATCTTACTTAACTGCATTAACCTTCAGCTAAAGTCGTGATGAAGTGAAACCTGCCGCTGGAAATTAACATGCACGCACCAACTGGAGCGAGATTCTAACCGGTTTCCAGCGACGCCTACAGGAGCCCTAGAAACAAGTTGGGGGGGAGGGGCTGGCGGACACAGCAAATTAAGTGCTTCTCTTCCTCGAATATCGGCAGAAAACTCCCATTTAAAACCAGCCCTACATTTCGTGACATCTCCCAGTCGAGTCTGAAGGCCGTCAGAAAGACACGCGACGAAAACGTGGGGGTGGGCGGTTGGGGTGGGCACAGGGGTACGAACAGAAGCTGATCTGAAAGGCAGGAAACCGTAACTGAACTCCCTCCAGTAGATGGTGAATTTCCTGCAGGAAACTGAGAAAGCGGTTTCACATTTTTGCCCAGCGACATCACCCCGCGGATAGAGTCATCAACAGGGTTCTTTCAGAACTGATTCTAGATGCATTCAAGGAAGGAAAACGGCCTTTGGGTTTGCCCAGAGCAAAACGGGAGCGAGCGGTTGTTAGCCATTAGGGGGTTGGCCTTGGAAGTCTCTACGGAGTAACTGTATGTAGCAAACAAACTTGCTGGCGATTCCAAGCCATCTGGACCTTGTACACACAACAGAGGCCACACCCCGGAGGGGCCACCTGGACTTCTCCTTGGGGCCAGAAAACACACACTTGCCCTGGGCAGATACAAAATACCACTAGAGAGTTAGCAGGAAGATGGGCCTCCCTACATCAAGGGCTGAAGGTTTCAATTCCAGAGCTCAGAAAGTTTTAAAAATGTGTATTTTAAAAAGACTGCAAAATCTGGATAACCCTAATAACTAGGTTGTGAAATTTAGTCCATAAGTCTAGACACACAGATGCCTACTGTTGCTTTGTAATTGAAGGGATATGTTCCAATAGCATCTCATTTTTTTAGGGAGTCATTTTTACTTGTTGATTCTTTGGGACTAACATTTTACTATGTCATACAGCTGTCCTTCAGGCTTTTTAGGAAATGAATGAAATTCATCCGAGAAATCGGGCTAAGGGGAAACGTAGCTACAGAAGCAAGGAATCCCAGAAACACTTAAATTCAGCGCACACACAGGTTGCTTTCTCCCTCCTACAAGACAGAGTACTCAGAAAAGGAGAAGCAGGTTTATAGAAAATTTGGGGCTTTTTTTTTTTTTTTTGGCCACCGTGTAAATTGTGGGCTTTTCAGTAACACTGAAGTATCCTTCTTTAGGGCATTTTGATGTTCTAGGGGTGGAGACGGACTTCTGGAACTTGATAAGCCATACGGTTTTCCCTTTTGTCTTTATAAGCTAAGGGAACGCACATGCCCTCGTGTGTGGGGGTTAATGGCATAAACACAAAAAAAGCCTGTCCCCAACCCCACACACACATGAATCTCTCACCCTTCAGACAGATGGGGACAAGACTTGCATCAGACACGCAGTATAGCGCCCAATGCATGACAACATCACACACAGCACCTCACTGACCAGGACCTCCACCCAACGAACCCCCGCAGGCAGGAGCTCACGCTACGGTGCGTAATTTTAGACAAATCACTCACTATAGTCACAACTTTTCACAGTAGGCTCCACTTACAGAAAAATGGGTAACATGTTTTAAGATGTCTGCTTGGGTGTTGTGAATAACAAAATTGCTTAGACAGATGCGCTGAATTCTGAAATTCGATCCGTGGTGCTGAGAATCTCGAAGTCGGACGACAAGAGATTCCACACGGACTCAAACACGCCCGCGACGTGATTTCTCCATCGTCTGCGTCGTAACATCCGTGGCCAAAAATGAGATAAATTAGGTTGCCATTTATTTTCTCATTTCCTGGTATTTTGATTAATGGAATTATCTCTCCAGCTTAACTATTTTAAAATAACATTTAGAATAATAAGAAATAAACTATTAATCGTAGTCTTTAAACTCTGGCAAGAAACCTAAACAAACTGAAACACCAGATTTCGTATTTCAGCAAAAGTCAGTCTGGTCCTTTAAATCCAAAAGCCAGGTGAGTGCAGGGAGAGAGGGTTAATTTTTCTTCATTCTAAATATTATTTTCATTTCTGATGTTTAACAACATAATGGAAAAAAAATTTCTTCCCAACACACACAAAAAGCCTCCTAGGTTCTTTTTTTTTTTTGTCCTCCTACCATCCATGGGACAACGATACCCATATTTCAGCCTATTATTTTCAAAGCATGCTCTTCCTACTGATGAATATCGGTGATTACTAGAAATTAAACATTTACTGAGTCACCGAAAGCTCTGACAAAGATCCTGAAGGTGACAATAGGCACGCAGCTCTCCTCTCGTGTACAATTCTGCTTGGAATACTAGCTCCCTGACGCCTGCAGTTTAAATCACATGACAAGCAGAAGGGACACGGGGGCCTTTATTGCTGAGGGAGGGGGAGAACTACCCCACCGCCTCGGCCATGTTCCGGTCATGAAGATCCCTGCACCTCCAGAACCCAGGCTCCTGCGACAGCAGATGCCAAAGGAAGATCCTGCAGAACAGATCCCGTGACCACGAGCTTCCTCCTGGAAACTCTTCCATTTAACCCACATCTTTAGCCTCTAAGGATCCGGGAATCCTTGCCACTTGGCCTACGGGAGCAAGGAAGGCCCGTTAACCAGCGTGCGTGCGGGAAACAGACTGCTGTCAGACACATAGCAAAAGAAAACAATTTCCCTTCTCCCTAGAGTCTCTGTTCACTCTGACCTAACTGCACCAGACCCATTTTGGCATATGGACCTCTTGCCTGTTAAGCGGTTCACTCGGATGCACAGTACGCTAGGACTTGTCACAATCTCCTAACACAGACAACCCAGACATTAACAGGCAAAGCAAGGGCGGCCGGCGTATGGTGGCAGATGTAAAACGAGGTCCTCCCAGCCCAGAGCCACAAACCAGGCCCCTACGTCTGCGTGGCAAGGCTTCTCTCAAACGACACATCCTCTGTCTAAGGAACGACCAGTCTGCGAAACAAAGCGAGACGGAACAAGAGCCCTTCCAAGGTCCCGACAGAGCTGGGAGACACCAAGGGAAGAGAACGGCCATCGAGGTTGGTTCCCTCGCACGGTCTGCGAGCAGGCTCATCGGCGACGGGCGCGAATGTGCGCATCCCCCAGGTCCACGTGCGTCAGCAGCGCACACCCACCCGTCCCCGAGGCTCCTCCGGTCACCTGGGACAGGGTCGTTTCTGGAGTAACGGACAGTAACAAGTGACTCTCTACCCCGGCGTGGTCACTCCCACCCAAGCACAGTACGTGCTGCTGTCCTGACCTTACCGGACCTGCGTGGAGTCAGGCGGAGAGACCCGCTCTGCATAACCCGCTATCTCCACCGTCTACGGCGTCCAGTTCCCCAAAAGTGAGTTGGCTGATCTGCGCCGAACGTCCATGCTGGAAGCTGTTAAAGACACATCTCCTCCTCCCCAGTCAGACCCACATACTCGGCTCTCCTGCTGGACATCCCTGGCGGGAACCCCAGGAGGCACCCCAACCTTGGCTCAGACGTGACCTGGAACCAGGTGCGTCGGGCTTCTCGCTGCCAAGCTGCGGCCTCGGGCAGGCCTGCTCCTGAGAGCCGGTGGCTGCGGCCAAAACCAGGGTCGCCTGGGTCCCTTCCCTTTGCGCACGTCCCACCGCGGTGCCCGAGAACACCCTTCTGCTCTCTCCCAGCCGCACCCGACCTCAGGGCCCCGTGTCTCTCACCGATCAGCCCCCGCGCCCCCACAGCAGTGCTCAGCCGCCTGTCCAGAACGTCGCAACACAAGACACAGCACCAACAATGCCATCTTTGCTCGGGGCTCCCCAGGGCCCAGAGGACGCCCTCCATCCTCCAGTCCTGCCGGACTTCCCAGGCCCCTCTCACGGAACATGCTCCTGACCCTCCGGGGGGCTCCTGCGGGCAGCCCCTGCCCCTGCACGGCCTTCCAGATGCCCCAGTCTGGGTTCCAGGACCCCCACCGACTGGCCCCCTTGCCTTGCTTTCTTGTCTAAACCACCACCTGCACCTTAAGAAACAGAGGAGCACCTTGTCTGCCCAGTATTCGGGTCGTCTCTGTGTCACAGAGCCTGGCACGTGGTAGGTGCTCAGGAAACACGGTCAGCCAAGAGTAAACGGCTATTTGAAAACAGAACTCGCATCCATGATGAGCATCTATAAAAGTCCATCAACTGTGTCACATCATAGAACTCCTGCAGGAATACAGGACAGTGCAGGATCTAAAAACACAAACAAACAAAAAGAAAACCCATAATCCACAGTTTCTGAAGTGTCCAGGAGAAGACCGGGACTCCTATATCAGTTCACGTTGGCAAAGCACACCCAACGTGGAAAAGAACACGACTGGGTAAGTTGAAGGACTCCCGTTCCAGACAGCCTCAGGACCTATAGCATACCCTAAATCTAGCGCGGCAATTGTGGTTTTTTTTTAAAGTACGGAAGCTACAGGATAAGAAAAATACGAAGGCTTAAACCTCTGGGACCGACGTAGTTTTCAACTATCTTGGCAGACACGTCTCCTTGGGAATTCTTAAATTCCAAAGTTTGCTAAGGAAGTAGAATTTCCTTAGAGAACCAGAACATTCAGTGATTAGTCAACAAAAGCTCCTTTAAATCTAACAGAGGACAAAACCGACGAGCAGGGGCCATGACCGCAAACTAGCTGCCACAGAGGGAGAGGCAGATCACTGTGGCGTCAGCGTCACCGGCCTGGGCGAGCGCCGTCCCCAGGCCAGAGGGAAGGACGGCTGATCCACCGAGGGCCTTGCTCAGGTCCTAAGACCACAGCCCTGCACCTCCGTGGACCCGAAGTCAACAGGCCGGTTAGTAATAAGCGTAAGACAGCAGAACCTGAGTTTACAGAGACAAAGAAACAACAGAAATAAATCTTTTCTCGCTCACAATCAAGGATGAGGAAGGAACAATTGCTAGGAGTTCTCAGCGCAACTCCAAGTGGCACAGAAGTAACTTCAAGTACAGTCTTAGGGATTCGCTTTGTTGATCTATTTCTCCCCGTGACAGAAGCATTTTTAAGAGGCTTGAGCAGAATCAACACGCAGCAAACAAACTCAGGTGTATTCATTCCTGAAGAATCTCGCTGAGTTATTCATACACCTGCCTGGCGCTTCCCACCCCTTGCCAGACACTCTCGTCAAAAAGCCGCGTCTTCGGTAGATTTAACGGGTCACCTATGTGCACAGGAACACTTTGGACTGACTCCAGGTACAATCTCGATATGTAATTCTCCACTTACGGTGTGACTTTGTTGTTATTCATCCCACAAACACATCGCAGTGGCTCTTGTCACAAGGAGGTTTATTTGTTAAAACGGAGAGTGCTACCTAATTTGGACTGAGGTCACATGTGTACGGACACCTTTTTTTTTTTTTTAATTTTTTTTTCAACGTTTATTTATTTTTGGGACAGAGAGAGACAGAGCATGAACGGGGGAGGAGCAGAGAGAGAGGGAGACACAGAATCGGAAACAGGCTCCAGGCTCTGAGCCATCAGCCCAGAGCCTGACGCGGGGCTCGAACTCACGGACCGCGAGATCGTGACCTGGCTGAAGTCGGACGCTTAACCGACTGCACCACCCAGGCGCCCCAACCTTTTAATTTCGGATTCAGAGAGATGTTACCTAGTTCATAAACTGTCAGAGCATCATGACAGAAGTTCCATACATGCTAGAACTGTAGGTTTTATCGAGACAGAAATCACTTACTAAAAACCTGTAACACGTGACAAGGCATTTTGTCAAAGACATCAAGAAAAGGCTCCGAGCAACAGCTAGGAATTCTCAAAATTGCCAGAAAACACAAAAACAAACCTCTGATGAGGTAGCGTCCATTCTAAGGTCAGCTCTGTCCTTATAGCAGCGACCCTGTAAAGCTGTTCCGTTGCTAACCTTCCCCTCCAGAGAAACAGACCAGAAAGGCTCTTGAGATGCCCTTGGCACCTCAGTCCCCGTCACCGATCTCAACAGCCATACGTCCCGCAGACGGGACCGGAGCCACGAGCTTGATCCGTCCCCGACAGGGTGTGGACGCCTGCTCTGGTCGCAAATCATCCACGGGGAGGGTGTGAGGACATGGGACCTTCTAAGACAGCCCGTGGTGTCTCCCAGCAGAGCACCACTCACGGGGGATCCAAAGGAGCACCGCCCCAGGGAGAGGACGCAGCCGAGGAGCACCACCCCCAGCAGAGCACCGCTCATGGGCGATCCGAAGGAGCACCGCCTCAGGGAGAGGACGCGGCTGAGGAGCACCACCCCCAGCAGAGCACCGCTCATGGGAGATCCGAAGGAGCACCGCCTCAGGGAGAGGACGCAGCTGAGGAGCACCACCCCCAGCAGAGCACTGCTCATGGAGAGTATAAAAGTACTGCTGTGGAAAAAGGACAGGGCAAAATGTGTCCGCCAACAAATTTATGCAAACACATCTGGGGAGAAAAGCATGTGTTTCTCGTGTGCCCAGTCGCCACCTGTCTCCCCCAGTTCCCTCACCCCCAACAAGACCAAGAGGAGCCACGGACCTGCTGTGTCCACATAATTCATGGCCACGACGACCGTCAGCGTCTGTCAATCGCCCACAGACTGTCCCGGAAGGGCTGTGCTCTGAATCAAAGCAACGTAACGTTATTTACACTTGACGTAAGAAAGCGCCGGATGCCCTGGCGAGGAGCACCCAGCACGCCTCTTCCCAGCACCGCAGTGAAGCCCGACATCCAGTTAATCGGAAGACCTACTTGTTTGGGGGCGTCTGCGGAGGGGGCGTGGGCTTCAGCACTTCGGGGGCCGTTAGGCGCAAACACCACTGTGGGACAAGGGACAAGGGGGCGTTAGCGCAGGCGTGTGCCCGCTTCTTCGTGACGCCGCGTTCAACGAGGCCGTTATGATAAAGCGCTTTCACACGAGAGACACGAGCGCCTCGCCTGTGGCCGGAAAACACCAATTTTCCTTCAACACTCACTCGAAGAGACCGGGCTAGTGCTGCCGGGGCCGCTGCCCTCTGCAATCCCGACCTCGCTGGCGAAGGAAGCCACCACTGCCAGGACTAATTCCCAGGGTCTGTGCAAACGGACCCTCCCCCGCATCACTCACCATTTGGCCTCTGTCACTCGGCATCACAATGGCTGGTGCATGCGTCCTTCACACTTCTGATAAAGATCCCACCCCCCCTGTGCTGGGCAGTGTCCCCACACACTGCTCCAGGCACACGCGGTCTCAGGCGAGCTGGGGACACACGGTCCCAGGGCCACACACCGCTGACCGGGGGAGAGGCCCTGGGTCCCCACCGTGGCGACCGGTCAGCACCAAGGAGGACAAACTCCCAGCCGTGTGGCACGCTGACAGGGGCACCGTGACATCGTGTGCTGGTGGCGGCAGAATTCATTAGCATGTTTGTTTCCGAGGACCCTGCTCTCTAATAGAAACAGGACACCTGCAAACAGGCTTGTCTCTGATGAGACACTCGGATGCCAAGGGGGCACCGCCCCGGGCGCCCGACGGGAGAGTCTGGCGCATGACCAATGGGACCAGGCGTCACCTCTCGCCTCTCGTGTCGGTGTCCGCGGCCACAGTCGAGGCGGCTTGGCTCCCCAGCGCCTCCCTGGGGTCCATGGGCGGCCCAGGCCCGGTGGCAGGTGGGGTACCCGTGTGGGTCCGCGTGGGGGCCCTGAGGTGACCGGGCTGCTGGAAGCACATCCCACGCTCCGCGCACGCGAAGTCTCCCTGGCGGGCCTGCGTCCGGAGCGTCCCTGGGCGGCGGTGGCCGTGGGTGGTGTCGGGTGGGGCGGTGGCAGGGCAGGGGCGAGAGGAAAGCATCATCAGTCTGTCTAACGGTGTGACAGGGGGCGCCACAGGCCCGGCTGACGACCACCACCGTCCCCCAGGCTCTGCCACCAGCCGGCCACACGGGGGACCGGCAGGAAGCGAGAATCACGGCCCCGGACACCTGCTCCCCAGCGGGGCCTCCGAGCGACCAGATGCCCTCCCGTCATCCACGGCCGCTCGGCAGCCTGGGCAGGCTGGTGGGGTTGGCGCCTCGGGGACAGGGAGGCCACAGGCCTGGCTGCCTATTCCCGCTGCTCCACTGACACGGCCCACCGGCCCCTCACCTGTGCCCACACACGCCCTCCGGGGCCGAGACGGACGGCACACCTGGGAATCGCAGGACTTACGGCCCCAGGCCCACATTCCCTTCCGTGGGAAACGGGGTGCAGACGACCCTCACTTGTCTGCGCCTTTCCTGCCAGGGGACGTCCCTCCGAAGAAAGGCTAAGAGCTCACGGAGGGGAAGTGGCTCCCAAGGACCTTCTCAGGTTCTCCCCGACTCTCCCCGGTTCTCTCCTACTCTCCCCTATTCTCCCTGACTCTCCCCTACTCTCCCCGACTCTCCCGTACTCTCCCCCTTTCTCCCTGACTCTCCCCTACTCTCCCCAGTTCTCCCCTACTCTCCTTGGTTCTCCCCAACTCTCCCCTACTCTCCCCCGTTCTCCCTGACTCTCCCCTACTCTCCCCGGTTCTCCCCGACTCTCCTCACGGGGCTCAACCCGGCGGCAACACAGAAAACAGAAACAGCAACGAGAAAGTCCCTCCTGGAGCAGCACGTGATTGACGTCAAAGGACGCCCACGCAGCCGGGCGTCTCCGGACCTGAAGTCTGATATGTGAGCGCAAAAGCCAAGTGAAAAGGATGACAGATGGTCTCAATCAAATTAGCTGAAAGCAAACTCTCGCTGCTGCCCGAATTCAGAGTGCCTCAACAGAGAAACAGGACACACGATCACTTCGATGCCGCGGATGACGTGCGAGGGGATGATCGTCAGAGACAGGCACGCGCTGGCAGGCACATCAAGTCACAGCTCTCACTCGGCAAGACATCAACACGGGTCTTCGAGCAATTTAAGAACTTGCCCGCAGAGTTCTCAATTCCCCACTTCCTCATTCAGGAACGCGACAATAAGATGACACATTCTGGCCCACATCCATCCCACGGTCACCAAGGAAAGAGCACTGACCGAGGTCGACAGGACGCCCCAGCCGCTGTCAACGTGGGAAGCACAGTACAGCCAGAGTGACCTCGGGTGCTGGCCGTCGCCTTACTGCCACTGTGTGTCCCCAGATGCCGTCCCTGAGGGCTGTGCACGTCCTGGACCCAAGAGCAGGACAGACGCCCCACACATGCAGTTCTGAGAACACACAGCCAGCGTGGAAGCATCCCCACCATCGACTTCTGCCAACGGCCAACTACACATGCCTTGTTAGAACTGCTTTCCTCCCTCTGAGTTTGGCCCGGAAAAAACTCAACGTCTAAAGCAATTCTGTCACCCACTCCTTCTCCTTCTTGACCACCCAGTCGAGCCCCGCGAGAACCTTCTCTGACAATCACTTTGGTGGTGTGGAGTCTCCCATGTGTGACGGGATGGCAAGTTCGAGGCGATTCTAACGATGAACATGGCACCTGCGTCTTCAAGCACTAAGTCATTACAGTACCTTTTTGTAGGTAAAGCTTTTAGCTGCCGATTTCCTATCTAAAGTAGCAGGAAAAAAAAAACCACACAGCACTTGTGTTCAGCCGACCTGATTTCCTTGAATTAAGTACACACACGCACTCACGGACACACACACGCTGTCCTCCCGTGCGTTTGGCCACATCGTTTTCTTTTTACTTTTTAGGAAGAGACCCGTTCCCTTTATGGTCAATAATAATGCCCAAGCTACTCCAAAATTCTGAGCTGATCCAAAGGTTATAAACTTCCTTGGAATTAACGACTGCCTGGTGAGCAAAGAGCCCTGACAGTCTGACCTAGAAACTGACAGCGTGTGAGAAAGTAGACCCGAGCCAAAGGGAGAGAGGAACCTTCCGGAGGCCCGCGCAGACTCTGCTCCAGAGACCCCAGCATACCCGCCCACCTGTAAGGAGGAAAGGAGACGGGAAAGATTCTAGAGACTCTACCAAGAGTCAAACACAGGAAGCACAAGACTTCCATCACCACGTCTGTGTGTCCTTGGTGTATGTGATGGTTTTAAGCCCCAATAAGAGAGACCTGACTCAACCTCCATATTTTTCTACCTAGAATAATCTTTCTCTTGTCTTCGTGTTTTTTTCCAAAATCTGTATTATCAGATAATACAGACTGGCCACAAGTGTGAAAACACAGGCAATTTATTATTTTATTCCTACTCTGCCATCAAAAGCACTCCTACGACATGGACAGAGGCGTCCAGCCCCCACGGCCACGCTGTGGAACGATTCTGGAACACGCAGCGTGTTTCCCACCTGAAGGGCTAGTGTGAGTCCCTCCGGGAAGTGACAATGACTATCGTCACATGACATCCTTCCTCTCCTGGCGGGGCCTCCGGACTGTTCATTTCCACACACACACACGCCATTCCATTCCGTCAAAACGCGCAGAGGGGAAAGGTCTCTGAGAAATCCTCTTCCCTAACTTCCGAGAAGTTTTTACTTTTTAGGAAGAGACCCGTTCCTTAGGGGCATCTCCTGACAGCAGCGTTTTCTGTGTGCACAGATCGCAAGCGCTGAAAAACCTGCGTCCCACTGGCGGCCACAAACGTTGCAGGCCGACACAGATGGGTCGCTCTTCCTTCGGGAGACCTGCTGCATCACCACCGCAGGTGGTGCCCGGCGGTACATTCACCGAGGTCCCTTGTGTGGAAGGTGCGCGGCAGAGGCATCAGACCACAAAATGCCACCCAAAACGTGCAGACAGACTCGGAGGGTAAGACAAGCCGGAGAGACCGTTCTGCACAAAGATGGATGAAAGATCCTAGACTCGTGACGCAAAACCCGACCGGACAGCCCACGAGAGCAACGAGTGTCCAGGGACAGGTGCAGGACAGACACCCGAAGCTTTCGTCACTGGCACCTTCGGCCACGTGTCAGGAACGTAATCTGGGGGCGCGGCGCTCCTCTCTGGGCCGCCGCCGCTGGAGTACAGCCTCCCTAACAGGAAACACCAATACTCTGTTCGCCGTCGGACCGCACCGGGCCTGCTCATCTCCTTCCGCTGCGTCACTCCGAGAGCCATACGTGAACACTCAAGGAAGGGAAAGGAGCCAGCGAGGGCGCCGGAGGGGCCGCCAAGGAAGGGATCCCGGGAAGGGCGCGGAGCAGGCCCAGAGAGGTGCGTGGAAGATTCAACAGGCCCTCGTGAGGGAGAGCTCGGGCTGGCCCTGCAGTTGTGACAGGAGCCCGAGGGGGCACCCAGGGGACAGGGCCGTGCAGGGGAGGAGCCCGGGGTGGGGGCAGGGGTCCCAGAGGGCAGGGCCTTGCAGGGGAGGAGCCCAAGGGGGGGGGTCCCAGAGGGCAGGGCCATGCAGGGGAGGAGTCCAAGGTGGGGGGGGTCCCAGAGGGCAGGGCTGTGCAGGGGAGCATGGGCCCCCACCCTGGGCATCCTGTCAAAGTGTGAGGCCACCACACAGACACCAGTCAAGGGACCCAGAGGAACCGATCTCAGTACTTCCCTAACCTGGGAATCCATGGTTCTAAGAATGCACTTTCCGAGGAACTACAGCTAGTTTAAAATACTCCCCTTAGGAAACCCAAATCGGGGTCAACTTAAACACCCGAAAGCTGCTGACTGACACCTGACTACGTCTCAGGACACACACTGCCAAGAGCAAGGAATCCAGGAAGGCATGTGGTTTATGGACAACTTAGCATTTTTCATATTTAAAAGATAAATATTTGAGGGTACCCGGGTGGTTCAGTTGAGCATCCGACTCTTAATTTAGACTCAGGTCATGATCCTGGGGTCATGAGATCAAGCCCCACGTCAGGCTCCAGTGTGGAGCCTGTTTGGGATTCTCTCTCTCTCTCTGCCCAAAAACCTTAAAACCATTTATTTTAAAAGTTTTAAGGGGCACCTGGGTGGCTCAGTCGGTTAAGCATCCAACTTCGGCTCAGGTCATGATCTCACGGTCCACGGGTTTGAGCCCCGAGTCAGGCTCTGTGCTGACAGCTCAGTTCCTGGAGCCCATTTGGGATTCTGTGTCTCCCTCTCTCTCTGCCTTTCCTCTGCTTGCTTTCTCTCTCTCAAAATAAATAAACATTAAAAATTCTAAAAACTTTTTTTTTTACTTTTTAAGGAAAAGGAAGACATTTCAGGCTACCACATACTTCAAATTTTGTCATCTGAAATTCTCAAAACCTTACCTTAAAACTCACTTCTCCTTCCACTCTTTTTGTGGGGGTGGGGACACAATGCCAACACGGACCCACAGGCAACACGAAGGGTCTTTACGGAGGCAGGAATACCACTCGCTAGGCGTGACTGGCAGGTGCAGGACGTGATGCGTTACAGGTCTGGGCACGAGGGAAGGTCTCGGAACAGCCGTGCGAGCCTCCGGCTCATGGCACTGGAGGCTGCCGTCACAGGTAAGGACTGGACGCCCAAGAACACAGGTCCCCACTGGGACTCGCCCACCACCTGGTGCCTAAAACTTCTCGGCTTTGGGATCCGAGAAAACCCAAACCTTAAAGAAATGGGGTTGCCGGGGCGCCTGGGTGGCTCAGTCTGTTAAACGTCCAACTTCGGCTCAGGTCATGATCTCGCGGTCCATGAGTTCGAGCCCCGCATCGGGCTCTGTGCTGACAGCTCAGAGCCTGGAGCCTGTTTCAGATTCTGTGTCTCCCTCTTTCTCTGACCCTCCCCTGTTCATGCTCTCTCTTTCTCTGTCTCAAAAATAAATAAACGTTAATAAATAAAATAAAATAAAATAAAATAAAATAAAATAAAATAAGAAATGGGGTTGCCACCAGGTCTGAAGGTCAACCAATATATTATTCTTCCATTTCATAGCAAATCACCTACAATGCTGGAAAACACTGCTGAGATTGTGAGAAGCTCGCGTAACTGAGATCTAACATGTAAAAATGTGGGGCGCCTGGGTGGCTCAGTAGGTTAAGCGTCCGACTTCGGCTCAGGTCATGATCTCACCGTTCATGGTTTCGGGCCCCGCGTCGGGCTCTGTGATGACAGCTCGGAGCCTGGAGCCTGCTTCGGATTCCGTGTCTCCCTCTCTCTCTGCCCCTCCCCCACTCACTGGCGCTCTCTCTCTCTCTCTCTCTCTCTCTCTCAAAAATAAACATTACACAAAAATTAAAGCTAAGCCACACAGTATCCGCGTTCTGTTCTACCACCTGGTACCAGAGGGCAAGTGCTCAGCTCCGCCTGGAGCTCAGAGCACCTGTGCCTGCAGGGAGGAGAATCGTGCACAGACACAGGGTAAGCACCTGGGCACGCAGTGTGTCTGTCTCAATGATCTCTGGGCACCCAGGCCACTAGCTTCACTCTAGGAAGCTCACCAGAAGCACTGGCTCTGAGCACGCAGAAACGGGTGTCAGCCTCCACCACGGACTCCACCGGCCACATCAGTGAGCCGTGGAACACGTTAGTTTTCCTCCTGAGCCGAAGGCACGGTCCGTCATTCCAAGATGGCCCCATGGTGCCTGTGGATCTGGACAGGCTCCCAAGTCCCAGGGAAAACCAGGAACTTGGGGAGAGACCCACATTTGCCGGCCAGGCACCCACGACCACACAGACATGTCACACAGCAGACTCGGGGGCATCACTGTTGACCCAGCTGCCACGAAACCTGAACCACGCCCCCCCCATAAGTGCTTCCAGCTTCTGGGATTTGAGGGGCCAGATCTAAAAGGTCTTTTCTGACGCTGGCCTACTTTAGTTACAGGCGCACGATGCGCAATTCAAAGACGGGCAATGAACGGACCGACAGAGCTCTGCACGGCTCTCTGAAAGCCCAGCTACGGGTGCTTGAAAGCAAGTACTCAGATTCCCCAGTGTTAAGTGACAGCTACCTGCAGTTCACGATCAGGAACGAGGGCATCCTACCGGTGTGCTCGGCAGTTGTTCCTGATTACCCTTATGAGGAGGTGTCGGTACCCAGACACTGGCAGGAAAGGAAGACGGCCACTGAAGGCTTGTCTCTTCTGGAATCTCAGCACAAGCCCGTCCCCCAAACGTTACACGGTACCTTCATACTCTGCAGGGCTTTGCTCACTAATGCCAGTGACCTGATACGTATTTTTTAATTACGTGCAGAAATAAAACTTAAAATAGTCACTTTCACGGGCGCCTGGGTGGCTTAGTTGGTTAAACGTCTGACGTCGGCTCAGATCAAGATCTCGCGGCTTGTGAGTTTGAGCCCCACGTCGGGCTCTGTGCGGACAGCTCAGAGCCTGGAGCCTGCCTCGGATTCTGTGTCTCCCCCTCTCTGGCCCTCTCTTGCTTGTGCCCTGTCTCTCTCTGTCTCTCAATAATAAGTGTTAAAAAAAATTTTTTTTAACTAGTCACTTTAAATGAACAATCTTATCTCTTATCTTTTGAAAGAAAAGGGACAATGAACAGCTACTGATTTTTTGTTTGAAATGACAAAGGAAGGGGTGCCTGGCAGGCTCAGTCAGTAGAGCGTGTGACTCTTGATCTCGGGGGGGCGTGAGTTCAAGCCTCATGCTGGGCACAGGGCTTCCTTAGAAAATAAAAATAAAATAAAAAGACAAAGGGCGTGAGGGGCATCAAGGCTGCCCGCCCCTGTCCAACTTCAGCATTTCCAACTTACATCACCAGGAGGGAAGCCCTGAAGGGGGCGGCAGGTAAATAATGCCCACAGCACCAGGCACGTGCACCCTAGCGGGCAGGGCTGGGGGGGGGGGGGCAGGGGGCGGAAGGAAGCACACACGTGCCCCGCCCTCTCTGTTCTGCGATCACAGCCGGGCAGGCGGCGTCACCTCCTAAGGGGAGGCTCCTCCAGAGGCCAGCCCAGGACCTGGTGACAATGCTCACACGGGGGTTGGGAAGGGGCCCGCGCATCTTACCTCTGTGCTCTAGTGCAGGGCCGTTGGCACCCCAGCTCTGGTAGAGGGAAGCAAAGTCCTTTGGAATGTACGTCTTAAAGATATTGAGGATGTCCAGGCGCTTCTCGTGGCCGTCGGATGCGGGCTCCTGCTTGCTGGTGTGCAGCGGGGGCTGGCCTGGCGAGGCCGCGGTCCCCCCGGGGCCCGCTCCACAGCTGGCCGGCGGCCGCAGCTCCTGGCCCGCCTTGGAGGGGGGCTCGCGGGGAGGTAGAGCGGGGGTCCCGTCACCTTTCACGTGCAGCTGGCCCTGAGGCTGAGGGCCGAATTTGGCTTTCGGGGGGTCCGGGGCACTGTGCTTATTTGGGGGACCGAGGCCGGCCCCCGCAGGGGGGATGCCGCACTTGTCCCCCGGCCTGCTGCCGGTGGGGGGCTGGGCGCCTGCCCGGGCGATGACTGAGGGCGTCGGGGTGGCGCTTCGGCTGAAGCCACCGCCGCCCGCCGCGGGCCCCGGCCGGGGGCCGGCCTCCTGCCTGGGCTTGGGCAGGGGCAGCTGCGTGGGGGCGCCGTGCTGCTCGGGGCCGTGGTGGCCAGGCCTGGCCTGTCGGTGCCCTTCGGGGCCGGCCACCCAAAGCGCACAGGGGCCCCCGGAGTGGCCGTCCTTGCTCTTAGGCAGGTGAGCGGCTTTCGTGGTCACGCCCAGGGGCGAGGAACCGCCTCTGGGCCCCGGCGCCCCGCCCGGTACCTGAGTGCGCGTGAACCGAGCGATGGGCAGGGGCTGGCACTCTTTGCCCCCGAGGGCAGGCGGGGGCCCCGTGCGTCCGCTCCGGGCAAGGAAAACCAAGTTGTTCCTGATGCTCTTGTAACCGTTGGGAGGAATCCACTGGGGGGTCACGGAGCTGCAGCTGACCTTGTGCCAGATACGTTTGTGCATCCACAGGACCTCGGGGTAGTACGTCTTGTGGCTGCAGTAAGGGCACGGGTGGACGGCCAGCGCGGCCTGCAGGGAGGAGGCCAGCTCCTTACGGCCGGGGTCATCCCGGGTCGACCTGTCACTGAGGTCCAGCGGGGTCAGGTCTGCGGCCGGCCCCCTCCGTCCGCCCCCAGCGTGTTCCTTAGTGTGCAAGTCAGACAGCTTGTCTTTCGGGTGGTGAGCCGGGCTCTCGGACGAGAGCTGCAGATCTCCTTCTGGAAAAGTCTGGTCCGAAAGCGAAGGGAAGTCTGCAGTGTCCCTGGGGGTGGGGACCTCCCGCTTTGGGTGAAACGCAGGCATCTTTAAGTCCACAGAAAACCTCGGCTGCTCTGCTCTCTTGCAGGCATCTCTGCTCCTGTTTCCAAGTGCGGACACAGAAGCTGCGCTCCCCGCTCCGGGCTCACCGCTATGTGTCTCTGATGCCTTACTTCCAGGTGCGTGAGTCCGGTCTCCGTTGGAGAGCACAGTCGAAGCTACCTCTTCGGAAAAGCAGCAGCGGTGAGGCTTTCCCCCTGGAGGACCAAAATGTAAAACGTGAAGTTACCATCTCTCATCAGAACAGAACGAGAACACCCAGAGCAGCACGCTCAAAGGCCCTGTGGCCCTCGCGCACCGGGTGCGCTGGTCCTCAGCAATTCTGCGTGATTCTGGAGCCTGGCTGCGCACCACCCCCCCACAGCGCCATCAAGAGTGGACCAAATGTAAGGGCCAAAGGACAGTGTGCGGGGTGGGGTTTCTTTCTTCAACTGATTACGTGACTCAGTAGACTGTAAGCAGAAATAAAGTCTAGTTAGCTGTAACTACACAGTTACTAGTTAACAGAGGACAACTAGTTACATCAAAAAGCAAGAAATAACCACTCACTAATAGCACAAGGCTTCCCATGACTGTCAAAGAACTAACTGAAGGCACGTTTAGGGATCCTGTGGGCTTAGGCAAAAAGACCCGGACAGACTGATATGCAGCCTGTGGTCAACACAGAGGCTGGGCCGGGACACCGCTCACTTTGCCCACGGGATCCCGTGGCTGCCTCAGAAATGTCTACGCTACGGGCTGACTTCAGACTGATCCAGAAAGGGTCCCTATGACTCTCTCTCATGAGGTCCAATGTTCAAGTCCACAACCTTGGCACCAGAAGCTTGCCTTCAGAGGCATGAGAAGGGAGCGTAAGTGAAGCTATCCGTCCCTGCCTTTCCCGGGACGGGTGTCCGAGAGAAGGGGGGCACCCGGGATGGGGACCCCGAGCTCTGCAGCTAGAGTTCCCACCTGCCATGCTCCTGCAAGAGAGACAAGCAGGGTGTGCGTGGACGCCCTGTCACTGGCAGGCCTGCCTCGTCCCCGGCCAGGCTGCACTGGGAATCACCACCAGCTGGGAGCTGGGCTCCGTGACCTTTGGACCCCAGGTGCTAACGCTTCTGCCGAGTCAGACTAGACCACAACCCAAGGCAACTCAATCCGACTTGAGAAAAATTCCGTTTTACGTTTGCAAGGATGACTTCGGACATACTGAAAGACGCAAGTCAACATTTGGAAAGCCACCGATGTGTCTGGATGTCTTAAAACTTCCCGAAGTACAGAGGCGGACACACCACCAGAGGGATTTTATCTCCCTGGAGCCCCGTCACAGTGGAGGTGGGTTATGATGTCAGGTGTTCTAACAAGGGTTAGATACTGCTGGTCTTGGAGAAAGAGTTTTTAGAGACTTACACATTCCAGTGGAATCTAGGGATCTATCTGCAAAAATACGTTCTTTAAACATTTTCTAAGACTCAGGAATCCCATCGAACGGGCATTAAAAAAAAAAAGTATTTCAAAGGGATCTTCACGGAAGCAGGAAGGCGCCCCTCACAGGACGCATTTTCACACAGCTCTGAAGGGGAACAGTACCAAATGTTCATTTTCAGTTAGGAGGTGGTGAGCCACTCTTAAGCCATTTTCAAGGATGACGTCCACATAAAAAACGTGACTGGCATGTCGTGGTGTGCAGAACAGGTGAGGGGGTAAGACCGAGCGGGGATAAGCGTTCAGATTCCTGTCGGCTCCAAAATGCTAACCCTGAAGCCAAGTCGGGTATGTTGCGTCCTGCTCGGAAGGGCGCTGAGCAGCCCTGGGAATCTCTGGACAAAAGGGCACTTAACGGGAGAGTAAACGTACAGAAACCTGGTGGCCTTGGTTCGATTCGGACTGATACTCAGAATGCCACAATCACTTTCAAATTTTCAAAGAGAGAAATGCCAGGGGCTGGGGCCTCGTCTGTCCTGTGTGAAAGGGACATGGATTTATGAAAACACACGCCGAAGACCATTAGTCAAATTCCTAAGTTGGAACAGGAGGCCGGTGCAAACTGATGTTGCACCTCTGCAGGGGTTGCAAAGCACACCTGTCGAAGTCCCCGTACTTGACGCTCCCAGAAGGGCTGAAGTAACACCACAACCGAACCTCCAGAACCTCTGAGCAAGACACTAAAACACGAGGCGCACGTGACATGACACAGGTCATCAAAGGTCATCAAAGCCATCGTGGGGGCGGGGGCAGAGCTGTTGTCACAGGAAGCCAGTCACGGAGCAAAGGAACTCCTTCCCGAAAGCCTTCCAACCGCAGGAGGGGGAGGGCAGTTCAGGATGGGGACACTGACCATATGAGGTCAAAGGAGGGGGCAGGAGAGCAGCCCAGGAGCCAGGTGATGCTTCGAACCAGGAGACCATGGTCATGACCCCTGGAGCCCTTTTCTTAGGGAGGTTCCTCAGGTACAGGGCTGGGGACCCCCGGGTCACCGTGGAGAAGGCCCAGCCCACTGCGACCTCTGTATCTACAGCTGCCCCCACCAAGCCAGTGGGGTCACTCAAGGCTGCCAAGCTTCCGGGCATCCAGACCAAAAGCAGGCACAGAGGGGCTGGGGCCCCAGGGAAGCGGGACTCAGGTCTCTGCGCCCGGGTCCTTTAGTCCCATTTCCAACTTTACTCACAGGCGTTTCACCTAGAAGTGGACCTCCCACAGGCCACACCCGCCGGGCATGAAGGGTGCCTGCACATCCCCAGCCACCTGCTCCACGAGCCACACCTCCTCGGTGGGCAGCCTGCCCTGAGCACTTGATTAGGCTTAAACGGAGGGCGATGGGTTCTGAGTTCCGGGCCTGATGTGCCTCCATAAATAGCTGCCTGTAACCTTGACCACCAGGCTAATAGTGTCTGCAGCTGAGAAAGAGGCTCCGAGGGTTACCACTGGTCTCCTGCCTGCGGGGGCTGCAGCTGTGACCTCCCGCCAGGGCACCCTGTCCCCAAGCACGGTCCTGGTGCAGAGTGGCCAGACCTGCACGGCCCCCAGGAAGCGCGCCTCAGTCCCCACCCTGCGTCCACATATCCAGTGCCACATGAGGCAGTAATTCCTGCCACAGTCACACATGTGCACACGTGAACAGGTGTGTGCGTGCAAAAACATGCCCATGCATGGGTGCACAAGTGAACAGGTGTGTATGTGTGAAAACAGGTGCATGAACGCGTGAGCACGTGGGCGCACAGAGTG